TGTTGATGGAAATACAAGAATTAAATGAGAAAAAGGTACAGATAAATTTTTCTTTGGGTGTGGTCTTCTTTAGTAGGGGATCATTTCCTTTATTCGCGTGGCTTCGGGGGTAATATTGTGAAGAAAAATTTAATACTAATCACTCTTATGGGTCAAAGGGTTATTTTTGTAGGTCAGTAAAGAATTGCATGCTTTCCACTTTCCAAATCCAGAGCTTGCATCTGGGGGTTAGCAAATAATGACACTACCCTCTTCCTACGAAGGAAAAAACAATTGAAAATTACAAAAAACATTGAAGTAGATGAATTACCTAAATTACTGCGAGCTAGTTTATTTACTCACTAGTAATACCCATTTGAATTTTCTTTCACGTCTTTCTCCAGCAATGGCCCGCCATCTTCAGCAATATGTGTGTACAATTTGACGGATGTCAATAATGTTTTTCACACGAGTCCTCTCAAGAGTAGAGAGGCAGGAAGTGGAAAGTGGGTGACCTTGGAGAACAAATTTAGAAAGTATTTTGAGGGGGTAAGTGATAACACAGGCAACCCACTGTTGAAAAAGGGGGGGGGGAAGTCTTGTTACTTGTAACCCTTTTACTCCCAAATAACTGAAGACATGTTCCAATTGAAGGACAGTGGGTTTCTTGGGAGCCTGTTCTGATAATTATAGTACAGAAGGAAGCGTTAAACCGAGTAAGTCCCACCCTCTCTCTTCCGTTTTGCTTTTTCCTTTTACTTACAAGTAAAGATACTAACACAACTAACTAATAAACAATGTGGTAAATGTTTATTTTCTTCAGTGCAAAATAAACAAGACGTACTTGATTCCTAAACCCCGTCCAGTCCCAGACGGTTTGATGGGAACGAAGAACATGCTTTTTAAAGTGTATCGAGACCTCTTGCACGATCCTCTTATGCGTGATCCAGTGCTACCCACCAGCCTCGACTCGGTTCAAAACCAAGGGAACAAAGCCTGGTTTGTCAAGGATGGGATCAGGTTTGTTCACGAATGTACCGTGACTCGATACTCGAGGATCTTTGTTACCTTTCCATGTAAAACATTTTGCTCTTTTTATTCTAATTTCACAATATCTAATGTAGTGGTACCGTAAAGTGCTTTTGATGTAACATTATTACAAGAACTTTATAGGTATGAAATAACTATTATTATCATAATTAATAGCATTATTATCATTGTCACACTTGTCTGCTGTCACGTTGTCACGCATGTTGTTAGTTACTGTTATAAGAACCCATGGAAAGGAAGGAAAATAAATGAAAAAAAAAGCATAACACCTAAAATTTGCGTTTTCTTGTCTGGCATTGAATATAAATAGTCAACATTATCTATGAAGAAATTTGTGCGAAGTATAATGAGTGCTAGGTAATTACACTTAGAATTTCGTAAAGAGTAGTCTACTTACTCCTGTTTAAAAACTCAATCAAAGTCACTGGTAAGAGAAAAACAAAATTTTTTTCCTGAATAGTTTTTAAAGCTAAAAGATGAAAATTGGATACCAGTGTATCGTAGAATATCGTTAAAATCATCTATGTAAGGATTGTCGTTCTTTAGAAAAATGACTACCTCAAATAGTGACTGAACGTGTCCTTAACAGTCGCCGATTAGTACTCATAGTAAATTACTTTTTTGCGGTAGGATGACAGCCATTGTTCTGGACAAAGTTGGTGAACACACTGTTGTATACACATCAACAGGTAAATTCAACGCACCTGGTATTGCGAGATCGAGGTGCACTACTTCTTAAATCCGGGGTTGTAAGATACAATAAATCGCTTTATGATTTGGGTGCGTTCAAACCAAAAAGAACGTAATCATTTCAACCAATCACGTAACTAATAAGAACTCATGGAACTCAACTCCAAGCGCGGGAAAACGCAGGTAATAAATATCTTACATTTGATTGGAAAGGGTGATAGTGAGAGTTCTCTTGGCCATGCACATTGTGCTGTGAAGCATATCTTATACAATTCTGTCGGGACAAGTTTTAAAACTCTTTTTAAAATGTCCCCAGAAGTGTTTGAGGAGTGCTTACTTCGAAAAGTTTTCTTGGAGAACTCCAACCGTACTAAACTGTCTCCAGCCTCATCGGCACAAGTAGCAGAGTGCTAGCTCAAAGATAATGAAATTTATTTTTGTAGACCGAGGATCTGTGCTTAAAATTTCACAAGTTGCTGGCCTTCTTCAACCCTGCCTTCTCACCGAAATCGACCTTTTCCCGGTGAGTATTGTGGCCGTAAAAATTTCTTAAGGTCGATCGGTCTTGTCTGAAAAGAACTGTTGTCGGTGGCAGTGGCTGACGTTTCGATCAACAACCTGAGCAGAAGTCATCATCAGCGTCGAGGTGACTTCTGCCCCCACTGAGATTGTCAAATCGTCAGTAGTTGTTACTGGGGACTGGAATCAATTTCTAGAAAATACTGAAGTGACTTCAATGTGACTACCTGCGAGTCGAAAATCAAGGTTTGATGAATCTGAAATGGACAAATTCTTTATTTGTTTTAGATCAACAGACAAGAAGTCATAAAAGCTATGACGATTGATCCAAAACAGGTAAGATAATGTCTCATAATTACTAGTAAATGTGAATTTCAACTGAGTAGTTAAAGTGTCGTCCTAGAGGTTTGTGATTGGTTGTTCATCGTTGTGTTTTAGTCTGTGGTTGGTTATTCAACGTCGTATTTTTGGTTTTATTTACAGCATGTCCTGTACCTCGGCTCAGAAACAGTTCTTAAAAAGTTGAGGTTGAAGCAGTGTGGCAATCACACGGACCGTAGGTGAGTGGTACAGTTCAAACTAAAACAAGAAAAAGGAATAGGTTTTGGCTCTTTCGGAGAATTTGAATTTTGCTCTCTTTCCTGATGAGTTTCCTCCATTAGCTATGGCTTAACTATGCAAGTACAGTAGTTACCGCTTTATTTCTGATACCATCTTGTTATTTCAGGTCCTGTTCATCTGCTATTGATCCTCATTGTACATGGATGAAGAAAACAAGGCGTTGTGTTTCAGTTCTATCCTTAAGGTCAGTAACATCAATTAAAAAAAAATTCTAAACAAATTTTACGAGTGGACTCTGTAATGATCCCCAAATCTTCTCAAACCTTACCTCGGGTGGAGAACCGTGCGTTCTGCAGAGCTAAGTAATGAGGACAAGTTCGCAGATGAGCCAAGGGCGCCCTGGCAATAAGTGCATCCGATGTGATTTTCTAAAATCCTTGCTTTTTTTTATTACTCTTTTCAGAGAGGAATTGGGAAAAGGCTGGAGTACTTGTCCAAAGAAAATAGGTCAGTGTCAATTAAGTGCTCTGTTGAAAGTGATCAAGTTGTTACTTCCCCCAACAGTATCAAGATGTTACCTCGCAACCAGTTGATGAGAATAGAGGAAATGATCAGTTAGAGGGTCTTGAATGATAAAGAACCAGATTCTCATACCTAAGTTATGTTGACAGGTATTGCAGCTAGAAGTGAGAATTCGGAATGAGATCTACATTTTTTGATTAAAATGTTTCCAAAGAAATACCGATCTTATGGAGTATAAGTCTCCAATCCGGCCACTTTAGGATTGTCACCCAATGGATGTTAAGCAGATGCCAGTGAAAGTAAATTTCAGGGCTAAATTATCAAACAACAACAACAACAACAACAACAATAACAACAACAACAGCAACAACAACAAAACAGATACAAAATCGTTCTTGCTTATATTACCAATTGAAGGAGTGGCTGTTGCTATGATCAAAAAATGTAATTTGTTATGTGTTTTATCTCTTTAAAGAACTAATCGCATGGTCCCCTTGGAAAACTTGTGAAGGCAGTGATGGAAATCTTTGTCGATGTCAAGCTCGTCCCTGCCAGGACAGGCAAAACTCCTCCTGTCAGGGTGGATACGAATTACGATTTGAAAACTGCACAGGTTTGCTAGGGATTTTCCTTCTCCTTCCATGCGTATTTTCTATTTTCTTTTTCTTTTTGGGCATCATAGTCCCTTTTTGTCGTAAAATTACCGCTGAACACAGACACTGATGACTCACTATAAACTACACCATTGTAAATAGTAGCGAGGAGGTGCTAGAAATGAGTGATAAAGAGGCGAATTCATTCAGTTCCGATGGAGGCTAACTATTCGACAGTCATGGTGAACTCTCCCCGGAAACCGGAACTATTTCTCTAGCAATTTCTGTAAAATTGATGATCTTTTTACTTCCCATCGCCAAATTTAGTTTATATATTTTTTTGTTTTTGTTTCAGTGGACATAAATGTCGGATGGGAAGGGAGAGAAGAATGGGAGAAGTATGGTGTGCAACACGGCAACTGGGGTGCATGGGATACTTGGACGGATTGTGAAACAAAGCCATGGGTTGGGGTAAGAAAGCGGACAAGAAACTGTACTAATCCAGTCCCCAGGAGGGGAGGGAGACCGTGTGTAGGAGAGGCTGTGCAATTTGAGTCCTGTAACTTGGGAAAACACGGTAAGAAGTACTGGTAAATGGTCTTCTGTTACTTTAAAGTTACAGCACTTACTGGTAAAAAAATTTGAGTCGTTGAGTTAATAAAAGGTTATCCTAAAAAGTAATGTCTAGTTTCATTGGTCCTCACGGTTTCTCGTAATGACTCAAATAAAAATCTTTGCGTGAGAGGAAACTTTTGTGTCCAAAGAAATTTTATATCGTTTACTTTCCCAGGCGTAAAGATTAGTTGATGTTTACCTTAAGCTTGCTACTTTTTAGCAAACTTCGAGGGCAAGATTTTTGGAAGTATCAATAGAAACAGCAGAAAAACAACAACAACAACAACAACAAAAATAAAGAACATCAACAGAAGAAGGCTTTGTTCCTGTAAAACGCTTATTTGAGAAAAAGTCGTCCGAAACTCCTTTTTGTGCACGTTTTTTTTCTACAATTTTTCCTCTGTCTTATTTTTTCGTCGATTAGAGGTGGAAAAATGGCTGTTAACAAACCCAACAAGATCTTTAAACTGATCAGAAAACAAGGGTGTTCATTTTGAAGTGATCTTTAAAACCACTGGATATAACATATCTAACATCATTGTTGAAATACTCAACAAGACATTTGATTGCGAGAAACAAAGAGATCTCTGTGGAGGTAAGAAGTGTTGTGGAAAGTGAACACAAACTTCATCACGTCAGTACTTCATTGCATCATTATTCATCACGTCTTCACTTCATCTTCTCCACCAATCAGATGCAAGTTCAAAATCATTCACGAGTTTGTCACCTGCACTCTTCCATGCCAAGCATTGCTTCAAACTCTCATTGGCCTAATGTGTTAGGGCGTCAGGGATGTAGCTAAAGTTTTTAACAGGTGGGAATCTTGCAATGATAGGCGGGTATTTGGGCCGAAGGCCCACTCTAGCGTGCCAAAGGCACGCTATACCTAGATTTGAAGGTGTAAACAAATGAAATAAATAAATAACAATCTTCTGACAACATTTAAAAACATTTTGGAGAAAGAAGTAGCGCTTCACAGCCGGAAAAATCGCGTTCACAGCTGGGTAATTTTCCCGGCTTCCGGCTATTCTCTACATCCCTGGGCGTGTCTCTTTATTGTTCGTACGTCTTGTTGCAAATCGCTCCATTTTCAGTTTACGCAATGTTCTGCTGTAACAAATGAAAATTTAAATTACATCTTCACGAGATAGCAGGCGGAAAATAGTGAGATCCTCTTCTGTTTGGTAGCTAGTCGGGTGTAGTTTACTTGGAGTAAAGAAAAAACACCCTTGCACATAATTAACTTTTGTGGAATGCATGTGAAGAGTGAAGTTAACTGCTAATGTCTGTTTAACAGCAAGCTATGTACATGGTGAAGCTGATATTTGAAGAGCTCTCGGGTAAAATTGAGATATTTTTCCTGTGTTAGAGGGAGAATGGAAAGATTGGTGCGATTGGAGTCAGTGTTCTGGGGAAGGATTTCAATTAAGAAGTATGGATTGTAAAGTGGAGCCTTGTGTCGAAGAAAAGTTACAAGAAAGAGGCTGTGAGCCAACTTCACACAGCAACTGTAAAGGGCAGATGTAAAGATTGACTTTGTCATAGACTATATTGTTGATCAGATTTGCACTATAGCCTTGTGACTTTTACCGCTGGGATTACTCCCGTAATGCGCTGCATGAAGCGACAAGGAGTGATAAACTCCTTCTTGTTCCCCATCCCAGGCAATTCGCCTGCACCCAGTCGTACTCTTGGGTGGAGAGACGCACTTGAGTGTTGAATGTCTTTCTCGAGAACCTGACACAGTGAATCGGCCAGGCCTCGAACCTGAACCTCTCGAGGCGGAATCCAGCGCGCTTGCCATCAGGCTGATGCGTGTGGGGTCAGGAGGAGCGTATTATGAAACGCTATAACTGAAATGATGGTTCTTTGGTACCTCGCAAAAGCGTGGCTTTCGAAGCATCTTCCTGCTTGCGCAACGCATATCGAATGTTTCGCGCAATGTTAAATGGACGATAGCGGTGTTAGATGGTTCCCTAAAAGGCTTTGCATTCTCGAGGTTGAATGAGGTCGACAGTAAGAGCTGGAACGTGTGGTCTGTTTGCGAATTTAATCATGGTTCAAAACTGCCTGACGGAAGTGGTGTCAGGTCCAGGCAACTTAAGTGCTGAAGGAACTGTCCCAACTCACTGGAATGTCCTATTACTGTCCAGTACAGAACTTGTATCTGAGATGGTCTACACAAAGTTTGCATCAAAAGCGTGAGACTAAAGGAGTAAACTTTACGGAGAAATTTTATCAAGTAAAGTTTTTTGAAGCAGACCACACGGCTTGTTCTAGACATTTTACCTATCTACCGACAGTCATTTTGTCGTTGTTGTTGTTTTGGTTATTTTTGCTCTGGGCAAACTCGATTTGAATAAATTTTCGTCACCTTTCGAGTCTTCGTCTTGGCGAGTGAGTGAGATCAACAGTAGTTGAGATGTCACGCAACGCCATTTCTGGAGGGTGAGGGGCGAGTGTTGTGTGACATCTCAAAAAATGGCTGTGAGGCAGACTCAAGTTGTTGGTGACTGTGTTATTTACACCAACTTACAATTACGTCACAATAGAAATGACATATGACAATGACTAATGACAATGACAATGACTAACTACATATGAGAGAGAAAGAGTCGTGAATTCTAGTAAAACGTTTAGAATACGCCTGGTGATTTTTACCCTTGTTCAGATTGGTCGATTTTTACCCTTGGTCAGGTTGACCAGAAAACGCTGTAAATATAGTGAGTCCGTCACGAAATGTCGTTTTACGCGTTGATCACGCTTACTGAAGAGTGAACTGTTAACCATTTAACTCCCAGTAGTGAGTAAAATATAACTTCTCCCTATAATACCAATACATAATCCAGCAAACAGGTAACGAGAATACCAAACTTATCAGGTAGAAGTTCCTATCTTGATATAACACCAAATTTTCGTTACTAATTTACAAGGAAATTGGTAGCAGTTGGAGGGAAGAATTAACAGTCAGTGGAGTTAGCAGCCAGTGTATCATTTTCCAACCGTTGGCGTGCATTTGTGGTGGTAGCTTGAATAAAGATAGTTGTGGTAGTTTTGCACATCTGAATGTGATTTTTGATGCGAATCGTTTCAAGTGTGAGACAGATTTAAACTATATATCTATATACATTTTTGAATTGCAGCCGTCTCCGGAAGGCGAACTGACACGGTAGCGGTTGCCATCGGGCTGATAATTGGCGTTGTGCTGATCATCGGCGTTGTGCTGATCATCTTGGTAGTTCCGGGTTATTGTTACCTCAAACGAAAACAGCAGGAACAACCGACATCATACGATGTTCCAAAAACTCCTCAACGTAGTTCTCTAAACAGTGATTGTCTATATGCGCAAGTCGTAAAAGAGAGAGGTGTATCCACGGGAGGTCATCCATCCTCAGAAAGTCAAAGTAAATAAAAGAGCAGAAACTCTTGAAAAACGCGTTTACCAGAATAGCGTAGTGAATTAGACGGAGATGTTATGTCGACCGTTGTCAGGAGCCCATTACTTGTGTAAGTAATGGGCTCCTGCAGTTGTAAACAATTTTTCTCTTTAACACCTTTAGGAGTCCGTTCTCATTTGTAGACTGGCTAGAGCGCATGATACGTTTCGAAACTCATCAACATTTATCAGCAATTTAGTTTGATGACATTTTGATGTTGCGCGATCATTAAAGCTGTTTTCCTACGGAAGACTTCATTCCGCTCTAAACGGGCGTCAATTTTCACTTTTCTTGCTAAAAATTTAACTGAAATGGCGTACAAGACAACTCTCCTTTGGGAAGAAACTGTATATCCTATATCGTTCGTGACATATGTTCAATGCGCGGCGTTTCATAAATACGTAAGAATTTATTTTTCTATTTATTGTAGAAATAATCGTTTGGCATTTTAAAGTTTTTTTTACAAAAAAAAATAACTCTATGTTAGCGTGTAGAGTGGTATGTTGCTCGCACCAATCAGATCGCCGCATTAGGATATGTATCTCACTAATCAGGTCGCCGCAGTAGGGTATGTATCTCGCACCGATCAGATTGTCGCATTAGGGTATGTATCTCGCACCAATCGAATTGCCGCATTTGGATATCTTACACCAATCACAGCGTTTGGGTATTGTTTTCTTGCAAATGATATCATAGATGAGGGGGCTGTGCACAAAGAATGACGTAATCAGAAACTTTGGGCTCATCTGTTAAGTGTAATGGTTTGTGGCCTTCGTAAGAGCCTCGTCGATTAAGGTCAAGATTTATCGGGATATGAAAGGTTGGCATTTAAATTTTTAAGTTAAAACGTGTCTTTTCCGCTCTCATATCCACAACGCTTACGCCAAACAACTTACATTCCATCACCTACCGTGAAAACAACGTCTTAAGTCAAACCATAACATACTCGATCAAGGTGTAGCTGACAAGAAACTAAATTTTTTTTTCGTTAAGTTGGGAATCGGATAAAGGGAATTCAAAGAAGTCCTGTTTTGCTGCTGCAAGCTGAGTGAATTTGTGACTTAATGAGAAAATAATTCTCATTCTTATTCGTATACGATGAGAGAGAGAATCCTATGGATTTGCTCATTTCCTTTTTGGAGATTCTATCTACAGTAAAAGTTTTCGCAAAGATGAGTGATTACAATTGTACAGTAGAGAATCACGTGTAAATAAAAAATGACCAGCTAGATTGGAGGAGGTGGTGTAACTCCACTGTGCAAAATTGTACTCTGTTGATTTTTTTGTGTCTACATCTCTACGAGACAATCCTTGTTTGTGTCCATTATATTGAGGGGAGTTTATTTGTAGAGAAAAAGTGGTCGCTAGTAATTTTTGAGAACGTAAAAATACCTAGTTCTACGCCGTCTCACCTGCGTCTCAATGAGGGTAACACTGGTATTAAAATGGCAAGAAACTTTCTCCTCTACGATAATGACATTTTTTATATTTTTTTCTTACGAAGGAACCTCACTGACATTGTTCTCCGAAGGGAGATTTGGAGTTTGAATACACATTTTTAGACTGTTTGATTTT